TATATATATATATATATATATATATATATATATATATATATATATATATATATATATATAAAAATAAAACAGAAAATATTTTTTATATATTTGCACATCACAATCTAGCTGACATCGACACTTTGCCTGAGGATAACTGTACGTTTGAAATATCTGTGGTGTAAAAGTGTGACAGCATGTACGACATCCACATCCATGGAACATGAGTGTTCTACTTGACAGCTGAAGAGTTTTTCCACATACGATACCTGCAGTGTAGGTTAATACAAGCAAACTAAAACATAATCCGGTTTTCCCTCAGCAACAAATCCTCCATTGTGTGGCTAAATCGAGGAGTGGGTTAGGAGGCACTGCTGCCTGGCAACCGTCTCCGTGTCAGACCCCCCTGCCTTCCCTGTCCGCAGCCGAGTTGGGGAGGCACCCACCATCATTACAGTTACGGCAGAACCACGACTCTGCAAGCGGCACAGTTACATCGCTCACATCCCGGGACACGGGTTCCGAGCACAGTCCCGCCTACTGCTTCACAGAGTCTGCCTGTTCTTCCTGTCTATCCCGCGTCCTACTCAGAGCGCCCCCTACATGTCACCCATGGATCAGCAATTACGAAAAAAAAAATCGACCAAACGGGTTCCTTATATCCTCCCTGTCCTTAATCATACATATGAAACCTCACATAAAAGGCAGCCTCTGCCGTTTACTGTGCAAAGAAAAAAATGTTCTGACAACTCAGTTCAAATGAGAATTTGACAGCAGTACATGGATTGAATAGATAAATCGGTATTCAAGTTAAGAGCAAAATGCATGAAAAGCCTCCACTCATTAACTTCATTAATATAGGAAGACACTATTATTTTGCCTGTATTTTCCTATAAATGACATAAATAGAATTAAATTTGAAACTCAAGGAGTGTCTGCGGGGAGCACTTTAAAAAGCACAATCTGGTAGGTGGACGGCAAATGGTAACCGTTTACAAAAATGCTACCTTTGCCACTTGATATTTACGCTCAAGGGTATTGATCAATAATAATACGACATGACAATGACTGCCAAGCACTGAAGATCTTTATCCACCCTAAAAGGAGACAATTTCTCTCTTAATTAAACGAAGCAGAGTTTCATCGATATTTTCAATGAAATGAAAGAAAAATTCGATAAACTGAACTGATTAGCTACTGGGTGCAGTAGCTCATTAAGTAAAAGGTTATTCCTAGTTTCACAAGTGTGTGAAATAAAGTCTTACAGAGTTCTGTGAATCTCATGGGGAACGTTACGGTTACGTAAAGCAGAAGGCATTGGTAAAGCGCAGAGAAAGGTCCTTAACTGAAGTCGCTTCAATAAAAGATTTGCTACATCGTCTCCCCAAGCTACACCACGTAATTACACAGAGCACATCATGCATACTTTGCGTAAGAACATTCTCGACAATCATCGCACATTAATTCTCCATTACTGAAAAAAAGGATGACATTGTAATTGATGGCTAACATGATCTATATTTGCACTTGACGAATGGGCACAGGCTAATCAAAGGCCACAGCAGTCTGTAAACGACGCACATTATATTCTGTTTAACCACTGATTTAATACCTTCCCAGGAAGATGCCAAAAAGCATATTAATCCCATTGACTTTCTACCTCTTGCTGAAAAGCTCTTAGAGAAACTCCATAAACGGGAATAATCAGTGAGGTCGCCCCATTGGAAAGAGAGCGGAGCAAAAGGCTCGCTAAGCCAAGTCCCTGATCGATGACATTTTACAGTTACACGTGAAGTAAAGACACTTACCGGTAAACTGGGTCCTGCATCACCATCATCTTGCTCTCGTCCCAGGTCCACTCTTTTTTCTGTGGGGGCGGGGAATAATTGCATGTTATTTAGGTATTGTGCATGCGGGCGAGTGGCAAACATAAAAGCATGCAAATTCAGGGCCTGCTGAAGTAAAACAGTATGTTTTTACTTTGATGACAACTCACAAGTAGTCCAAATCAGAGCTCTTACTGACTGCCATAAAAAAGAAATCACTTATGTTCAGGGATTGACGTAACTGGCACGCAAATACGCATTCACTTTTAAAAGCAATACGTGTGGCAATTGATTAATGTAACAGCGTGAAAGCATATGTGTGTATTTTATGTACAATTGCATCAAAATGACAAGAAAATATTGTACGTTTTAACCTCTATACCTCAAATGAAGTACGAATTAGCATATAAATGTTAAAATGCACAGTATGCTTTCACGCTGTTACATTAATCGATTGACACACGTATCTCTTTTAAAAGTGAATGCGGACTTGCGTACCAGTTACGTCCATCCCTGCTTATGCTGTTTTCTTGCCATATTACCATTTTCATCAACCCATCCATTTTCTGTAGCTGCTTGTCCTATCCAGGGTCACGGGAGGGGGGTGGGGGGGGTGGTGGTCTAGAGCCAGAGCACTTACAGCTAATTTGGTAATGCTGGTTAACCTCAGTATGTTTTTTGGACTGTGGGGGGAAACCGGAGTACCCAGAGGTAACCCCATAACGACACGGGGAGAACATGCAAACTCCACACACAGAGCCATGGCAGAGACTCAAACCCTGGTCCCAGGGGTGTGAGGCAACAGTGCTAACCACTGCACCACCGTGCTTTCATATATATATTTTATATAACAAGCCTTTATAAAATCAGCCACCTTCCAATACTGCTTATTGAAACACTGCGTCAGGGTCATGCCTGGAACATACCCCAAGAGCCACAGGTCACACTGCAGGCCACCGAGAATGGATGCTACTCCACTGCATGGCACACACACTCACAATGGGTGATTGAGACACTTTCAGCTAACTGCGTTTTTTAGGACTGCAGGAGTGAGCCAAAGTACAGAGAGGAAATTCAGAGCGCTCCGACGAAGTTCATACAAACACAGAGACACAGCAGCGGGGGCAGGATTAAAAACGGTAACAGTGCTACGCGCTGCTACATGCTATATACCGCTGTATCGCATCCGTTAAAACCTCCCCCTACACCTGCTCATATTGATACGATCTCTCTGCTCCCCCCTGAGGCAAATGTAGAGCAGCAGAGACTTTGCAAACAGTATCTCACCACTTTCTCCATCACGTCATTATGGCTGAATCCATGCTTCACAGAAGCACATGATTAGTGACATGAACTGACTACTTACAGGATACAACCGGCCCTCTTCTCAGACCACACCCACTGCAGCAAGAGGAGCCAATCGGCACACTGGAATCAGGCACTGAGCTAAGGGAATGTCCTATAAAGGCACTACACTACTGTCCCCATGAGAAAAGACTAATTACTCCATTAAAATGACCAGATCAGCATTTTTAAGTAGTATAGTTAAGAGTATAAAATTCATCTGTACTGTCACCATGTCAGATGCCACTCACAGCATAATCATGAGCATCTTGAAAGATCTGCCCTATTGATTCAAGGACTTTTTTTTTTTTTTTACTTTTCTGGCTTAAACAAACATTAATTGTCGAATGTAAATGCAAAGCCTTTCAACTTCCTGACATTTCACCAATGCCAGTGGAAGCAAAGAGGCTCAAGAGACAAAGCCAATAAAACACCTTTGCTATGTTTAAAGATGAAAAAATGTCTTTTATGGACAAAGGAGTTTCCTCTGGTCTTTATAAAAACTCGAACCTTCGCGGAACAGCCGCAACAAAGCCAGGCCAACTAATGTAGGAAGTATGACAAGCCAGGACTGAGACCTACACACTGAGAAGGAAAAAAGATACATAAAATAAAAAGAAATAACACACTTTGGAAACAATACGACTAAAACATCTGGCAGGCACTTTGTAAATTACGATCTTCTCCAGTTTGCCTTTTATTCAGTGATTTTACAGAAGTTCACTGCAGGCTGCGTTCTGGCCCGGTCTGCTGTCAGTGTTCTTCTCCGATCAGTGAAGCATTTCCACATATTAATAGTAAAAACACATCAGTGCTATATGCTTGACTACCAGCAGTAAAGGAAAAATCAGGGATCGAGCATCACTGGCGTTTGGACTCCTAAGGAACCCAAACCACACTTTGACCAAGGAGAAGAGGTATTTCAGTGTCCAGTATCAGCGCTCAAACTTCTTGTCGACTTTCAGTAGCTAATGTAACTTCCATTTTCCTGTTGATCAACTTGGTAACAATTTACTTGAGGAAGCACAAATAACATAGCACAGTCTTACTTAATGTAGTAATTAAGCAGAAACTAAGGGTTAGTTACATACTGATCCCATTGTCGTTCATCATTAATCAATCATGATGGTTCATGTATTTCATGTAGTTACTATACTTGTTCATTATTTGTACTTGAGTAGTAACTGAGTTACTATGTTACTTGTGCCCTCTCAAGTAAAGCGTTACTGTGGATTACGCCTTCATAAGACAAGGGGGCATACAGTGTGTTTCATTCATTCATTCCCCCATCCATCCATCCATCCATGGAAAAACAAACACAAAATCACCAAAAAATAATAAATGACAATGACCCTGCACAAAACCTCCCAAAATATTTTATATAACTTTGAAAGTACCACACACTTTTCTTATGCCCCTGTGATGATTTGGTGTGATTACAAACATAATGGACCAATTTGCAGGCATTGCAATAGCTTGGAATTCAAGGAAAACATGCAGTCACTCTCTGCTTTTTGCTAGTAATTTAAGGTGATCCTCCTCCGTCCGGCAAACAAACACTCAATCTGCCTTAATACAGGATGAAGCTTCTTCCACAGGCAAAGAACTGCCAACTGTAATCATCTCAAATGGTGCCAGGCTTCTGCTGGCTAGATCCTGAAAAATGGAGGATTCCAAATCAGGCCGGGCCACAACACCCAGTACGTAAGTGTGGTGGGCGTGGCCTAATCAATCAGTGACATGACAATGGCCCACCTACCCTAACCCTAACCAACCAGTGATCCAGAAGGAGGCATGAAAGTGGCCATCTACCTTCTTCTTTTTTCTCAGGACCACCTTGACGCCATCCACCGATACGATGATGTTGACCTTCTTCTTCCTGATGTTCTTCACTTTGAACTCATACTGAAAAGAAGCAAAAAAATGATTAATAGGATGACCGGTGGATAGAAGAAAAAAAATAAAAAATCAAGCAATGTGAGCATGAAAAAGTCACTGAATGACATTTAACAAAGGGCTCCGATTGGTAAAAACCACTGAGTGGCTCCTGACCCACGACGACCTGCGGTACGACCCCACCTTGCAGATCCATTAGTGTTGTGCTTTTTATGAAGAACAACTTCCAGTCATTATAGATAAAACAGATTCAGTCTCCACAAAAATAGTACATGAATCATTTCAATCAGACATATTAAGAGCAAGTATCCTCATTTCCAGTAGGACATTTCAAAACTAGAAAAAAAAAAATGACTTGCACTGAGGTTGGACTGTTTTGCATGTTTCATGCTGAGACATGAAGCTCCTTAGATCTCACTGAGCTTTGGGAGCTGCCATATTCCATATGACACACAATGCATATGGTAATACTATGGTAATACTAGTAACACTAGTAATACTAACAAGCATAACAGTACTGTAAACCTGTAAGATGGGCTCAACGATGACTGAACCCAACATTCTTATGGGGGATGGATGGTCAGCTGACCACAAGAAAGTCAATAAAGAGTTCAGGGTGGGTTAGGAGAGAACGACAGCCAGACTCAGTGAGGATATTGGAGGTTTGTCTGAGGCAATTTGTACCTGGTAATATAAAACTTGATATCAAAAATCTGGCAGAAACCCTGAATGATGGCCGGTCGAGGTACAGGAGTGACGTGACATGGCTCATCAACATGACTTATTGACGGCCAAATGAGTCACTTTGGATTAACTGGTAAGGCATGGCAGCATGGAAGGCACCTTAAAAGGAGGAGATCAGGAGACTTCCTGCTGTGACCAGACAGCAAGCCACAGACTACTGTAAGGACTCACATCCCAAGTAAACAACAATGCACTAGAGAGACAATGCGAGAGTTTGGGTGGTTACTGGGGTTTGCTGGGGGGGGGGTTCAGCAAAAACAAAAGGCCTGTTCTCTAATGAAGTAACAAGGACACAGGGTGGATTTTCTGGCTCATGACCTCATGCTTTGCCGTCCTTCATCCCTTAACACTCCAGTGCTACACCAACCATGGTCAAATACGAATTCTGTCAATATATCGGTCAAATCAAGCAAGCGGGTCAGAACCATGACCCACACAAAAAGTTTCAATAATTAAATAGTGGATATTGAATTATTTATCCAATGACATTTGTCCCGCTGCGGTAAACACTGAGCTTCAGACGGCACACAGCTCACGTTGGCAGGATCAGTCTGCTGTTCTTTCCTGCCTCCCACAATCGGCCATAATGAGCTCCTGTTTGCTTTGGTCCTAATTGGGTTCATCTGGCCACCTGCAATCTGTGCTGTTCTGCCACAGTAAGGGGCCAGGCAGCCCCCAAAGCTCAGTGAGATCTAAGGAGCTTGCCTGCTGATATGACCCAGACTGACTACTGATCCTTCACAAGACCCAAGCTGAAGACTCATTCTTATCTGCTCACCAACCAGCTTCACAGACACACGTCATTGCGAACAAAACGTACTTTGAAGACACTGACTTTTACCTGCTATCCCCTTAGTCTGTTCATGCAGCGATGTCTGAACTTTAAATTTTCACATCATGAGAAGGAAGAGCAACAAATATTAGAAAGAACTGTGAAGTGCAAGAGTCACCATTCACATACATTTTTTCAAGTTTCACATTGTCCATCCATCCATCCATCCATCCACCCACCCACCCATCCATCCATCCATCCATGACAGGTGTATTTGGTACACCTAGCTTATATCACGTTGGACTCATTTTTAACTCAAGCGTGGCTTAAAAGTCGTGTGTTCAGAGAAGCGTTTCTGATGTTGTGCTGTGCTGTTTTTTTTGTACACTAGTGGCTTTAATGAGTCTGGCTGCTCTCGTTAACAAGGTGTTTTCAGTCAGAGCTGAAAGGATTCTTGTTGCTTATTGTGACATTATCTAGACATTGTAGTGCATGAAAATCCCTCGGAAGTGGCTGCTTCTGAGACAGTAAAACCACAGAACCACAGTGTCCGGCACCAAGAGTCACACCACACTCAGAATGACACAGATCACACATCTCTACATACATACAGCTTCAATCCGGTCATCGGTGCTTCAGGTGAGAGTTCAGGCCTCATTCTAGACACCTTATTATATTTTATAATAGACACACATTGACCACTTCTATTAGGCAACACCCAGCTAGTATCAGGTAAGACCTAATTTTACTGTTCAAGGGTAGACATGCTGCATGTTTAGAGTGGTCATTCTGTATGCCTCTTTGTACTGGGCTGTTTTGGCACATGCGGCCTTCCTGTTAGTCTTAATGAGTCCTTGGACCTTAGACCATGCATTTTAGCCATTATAATGCTGAGCCGCACAGTAAATGAACCTCATAACCCTGTCTGTGTGCTGAATGTATTCATGCACAACCACATGACTGGCTGATTGTAGGAGCAGGGCTGTTTTTAACAAGCAGGTGTACCTAATAAGCTGGCCAATTAGAGAATACCCAGAGCGTCACAATAGGGTCAAAATGAAAGGAAGTCAGAAACAATTAACCAACAAACTACAATGAATGGGCAGGGAACCTTGTTACACTCTGGATCATAAAAATGTACTAAAAATGTTACAAAACGGAAACTCCGCTATGCACACCCTTCCACGAGGCCAGCGATAACTGGAAAATGTTCCCCTCCAAAAAAGGTCTAAATTACGGCCAAGACAATAGTGGCTACATTTAATAAAAAGTACATTGATGACAAACAAGATTTTTGAAAAAGGGTAAAGACGTGTTCAGCTTCTAGATAAACACTCATTTATCTACAAAGGGCTCTTTTGTTACTTATTAATTTTTCCATTAAACCCAAACTAACCTCTGAAAATGTGTCTTCACTGCCTTAGTTTTGTACAAAATGTTACGCATCATAGACCATTAAGTTACACATACTGCTACTGATTTACATTAAGTATAAAGACAGAAACAATATATTTTAAAGAGAAAAATAAGATTAAACATCCATTGGGAAATTACTTCTATTCCACAGAACCACTGAAAAGTGAAAGCCATTCATTACAGATTTTTGGGGTTTGTTCATCTGAAAAGCGAACTGCTTAAAAAATGCATGAAGAATGTTAGAAAATTTACACTGCCCTAAATCATCTAAAGAAAACAACAGGATGGAGAGCTAAAATGCTAGACTTTACTGAGGACCCCTAGAAACCTAACCTTACATGAATAGACTGACCTAAAATGATCCAAACACATGCTACAGAAAACGAGGAATCCGTTCACCGTGAACATAATGATCAGGGGCAAGTTTTTTCACTTCCGGTGCTACATTCAAAAAGTCACTCTGGGACCCTAAGTGTAGTGACTGTTTGTGACCAACAGGGGGCCAAACCATGAGAGCCCCATGTACTCCGCTGGTGATAATGCTTAATGACGTACATGACAACTAAAAGCCAGGGGGCTGTTTGAAAGAGGTCATGCAAACAATGTTATGGCTAATATGATGAGATGATTAATATAGTATCATTTACAGGTCACTATCATAGAACATAGGTCGGCTGCAATACATTAAAATCTCCCATTTACCAATAAACCAATTTACATCAATTTAGCAACTCAGAAAACCTTACCACCTCTGTTCTGTACACACAAACTTCAAACCCAACAAATTATAGCTGCAGACGTGACTGTTCAGTGATGTTGCTCCCTGACTGTGATGATTTCCTTGTGGAGAAAAAGATTTTTAATGACTACAGGAGCATTGTTGTTTTACACACATCATCATAGCAACATGCTCTGTTTCTGGGTCACACAGTTGCTACAGACAAGAACTTGCAGTAAAATGTTTACCCAGTTTTGCTCTCAGGAGAATTATACACTCGAACCAGGCAAAAGTAAATGTCTGTGATAAAGAAAAACCTACATATATAAACTGTTCTGGTGGTAATATTAATCTCACAGTGACTGTAAAGACTGCGTATCGCATCAAGCGAAGCTTAAGGTGTTACCAGAAAAAGCACCAATGTCTCAGTAGCAGATTTCACTTATCTGACAAGAAGAAAAACACACAGCTGTCAGCACAAATTTCAGGAGAGGATGGAGCTCGATCTGACAGCCAGCCTGAAATAATTTACCCTGAGGTAGTCTGCCAAGAAAAGGCATGCAGGTGTATTCATCATCAAATAATGTGCAGATTACTCACTAAATGATATTAGTGGGATTAAATGCATCTATGGAGGGGAAGTAAAGAATATTTATTGGACAGAGCTCATATTTAGAGAAACAAGGCATTATTTATTGTGACAAGGGTGAGTTCTTCATCTAGATTTCCAGTTAGTTCAGCTGCTGAATGTGGCTAGCACATTAAAACAAACAGTCTCACCAAGCTTGTGCCAAGATGGCAGCATAACCATGAACAAACAATTACAATGGATACAGGCAATCCCCAACAGAGCAAACGTTAAAGGTTCTGCTGTGGTTACGTGTATGGGGCTAGCTACCAAACACGCTGCACATTACGGTACCATGCGTTTGTAGCGTTCTGACTGCCTGCATCGTGAAGCTGCAGTGGCATCTGTGCATTTTGCTTTAAGATCAGACTGTTATTCTTAAGGCTTCATAGATCAACTGCAGAGCTCAATAAACAGTCAATTATGACCACGCAGGGGAGGGAAAAAAAAAAACAGCCAAATTACTCCCCATGCTGAAAGTTGCAGAAAGAGTCCATAGAAAAAATGATCTGAAAATCAAAAGTAGGATATTTCTTCCCTACAGTGATAGCTTCTCCAGAGAAGGGCTTTTAGTGATCTAAATTATTATTCTAATACATCTGGTGTCCATGGATACTGATCAAACTATAGAATGACGTGTTTCCATAGCGACTGAGGAGTATTTCCCAGATTTTACCCAATCCATTTATTTCAACCGAACAAATCATCAGCTGACAACTTCCCCAAACAAA